CTAAACCCATCAAACAGTTCTACAACTTTCCTCCTGGCTTTGACTCCATGGGTGGTAATCGCAAAGGCACATCCAGCAATTTATATCTAGTCACACAACATTAAAGTAATCCATGTCTAATTCTCAAACTTTATGCGATAAGCAAGAGAAAATGCTAAACATTTAGCTTATCTGCCTTGCCATCTTGAGACATAACCTGCATTACCAGATTCACCTTTCTGCGATGAACTAAATAATTCATTAATTCTCAGTTACTCAATCAGAGAAAGAACCATGCAAATAGAATTTTCAACTAGAAACTTCAAGAGAGAATTTTACTTGAAGCAAAATAAGGAAGAAATTGGAATGATCCCAATCCCAACAGTAAGGCAAGCAAAACTGATAACAAAGTTGAAACAATGACGTGCTTCAAGAACCCCAGCCTAATTAACCACATGGGAATAGCACCTATACTTTTCCTAAAATCCAGAAGCAATTAAAGAAAAAACTGATAAACTGGAGTACATGAAAATAAAATACCATAAGCAAAGTCATCAATTCTAATACTGACCACATTGTGGACTGCCCCACCACAACTCTTCCCAACCTGCCCTCTGAAAGGACGGCAATGTTCCCACTTGCCAAACCAGCAGTCTCCTTTGACCTTGACCAGTATCCCTGAGTTCTCTCCTCTCCTGGTTTCCGTGATCCTTGTTTCCCCTTCCCCCAATCCTAGGTGCCCTACTATTCCCTAGTTCATCTTCCCAGCTCCTAACATGGCTGTCCCCAAAAGTTCAGGCTTGGATCTTCTGTTCTTTCTTTCTGGTTTCCTTCCCTTAGGGATCCTAACTATCCTGAAGTCTGATGCTCTAATCTCTCTCCTGAACTATAATCCTATGGCTCTAACTGCTCAAAGATATTTTTACATGAGTATCCTGATATTAGTAATGCAAGTTCACAGCTTAAACCAAATTCATCTTTTCCTCGAAACTTGACTTCACTAATCTTTCAGATGTGGCCTTACACATCTCTCTCTCTCTCTCTCTCTCTCTCTCTCTCTCTCTCTCTCACACACACACACACACACACACACACACACACACCTGCTGGAGCTCCTCTCTGCACTCCCTCAACACCATGTCTATACCTCAAAAAGCCCAGATGACCCTGTTATAATCTCTGGTCCATGAGTATGTTTCTTTGCCTCTCCAAGTAGATTATAAACTCCCTGAGGGGCAGGAATTGTATCTTAATTGCCTATGTATCCCCAGGGACTTTTGCAGGCGCTCAATATAATCTGCTAAGAGAAATTAATCAACATGGACCATCTGTTCCAGCCAAGCTGGTCCATCTAGAGCAGTGGTTCTCAACCTTCCTGATGCCGCGACCCTTTAATACAGGTCCTCATGTTGTGGTGACCCCCAACCAGAAAATTATTTTCGTTGCTACTTCATAACTGTAATTTTGCTACTGTTATGAATTGTAATGTAAATATCTGATCTGCAGGATGTATTTTCATTGTTACAAATTGAACATAATTAAAGCATAGTGATTAATCACAAAAACAATATGTAATTATATATGTGTTTTCCGATGGTCGTAGGCGACCCCTGTGAAAGGGTCGTTCGACCCCCAAAGGGGTCGTGACCCACGCGTTGAGAACCGCTGATCTAGAGTGTCCACATGATTGGCATTTTCACAGATCCCACTTCCAAGAGCAGTCCTCTCTCTGCTGCTGCACATATGGAAAAGCCCTACTCATCCTTCACAAGACTTAGCTAAAATTTCATCTGCACCATGAAACTTGATCAGGTGACCCTTTCCAAGACTCCTCACTCATCAGTCTTACTGTGCAGTTCAGTGTCATTAAACAGTACCACCTTTGAAGCTACACAGGCCTGATTTAAAACCAAGCTCTAACATAAACTAGCTGAAACTCTGGGCAATATCCTAAAGCTTTTTAACCCTTTGTACTCCATAAGCGTCTATAGATGCTTTAAGAAATCATTTTTCGTGAGAATTTTCAACTCAAAATATTCAAGAACACCCAAATTGTAATATATTTATTTTTATAATATTCATTGAAAATTTATTTTTTTAATTAAATTCAAAATATCATGGTGTGTGGGGATGGTTTCCGTTTTGGAAGCATGGCAGTTAACTGGTTAAAGCTATAAAGTTAGGTAAATAATACCTATCATACAGGACTGGGGGGAGGGGTAAAGGACAGTAAACACAGTGGATGTTCGGGGAACGTTATCTCCTCCCCACCTCACCTCCCTCCACTTCATGTACCATTGCTGTAGCCCTTAAGTTGATAATGTAGGTCACGTCTCCTTAATTAGATCCCAACAATTTGTAAGATCCTTAAGGGCAGGAGCTGAGTCTCATTCATCTTTCTCTCTTCCAAGCATCTATCAATGTATCTTACATAGAAACACAATAAAAGCTGAGGAAAATGAAATGACATTTACAGTGGATTAATGCAATCAAGTGTAAACTGTGCCAAGATTAAAACTGACCATCGTTAAGTATTCATCCAATTTAGCTGCAAAATTATTACATGGCACCTCGGTAATTTCACTTATGCCAAAGGCTGATTTCAACAAATGACAGTACAAATAAAGACAAACCTATTTGTAGAGTGTACATATTAATAAGTAATCTTTGATAATGTCATTAAAGGTGGCTTAAAGTAAATGTTACAGTCAGTATTAGAAGACTATACATGTTTTTTTTTCCCATGTGCTTTTTTTTTTTTAAATATATTTTATTCATTTTTCTACAGAGAGGAAGGGAGAGAGACAGAGAGCCAGAAACATCGATGAGAGAGAGACATCGATCAGCTGCCTCCTGCACATCCCCCACTGGGGATGTGCCCACAACCCAGGTACATGCCCTTGACCGGAATCGAACCTGGGACCCTTCAGTCCGCAGGCTGACGCTCTATCCACTGAGCCAAACCGGTTTCGGCCCCATGTGCTTTTATGCAATGGGATCCTTTCACATATTCTTTGAGTTAATATAACTGTAGCAGATCTTTTCATACCACTTGTTAATGAACTGAACCTAGATTGAGATCTTTCTATTTTTGCACCAGGGGTCAAAATTAAAGACTAAAACAAAACTGGTACCATCAAGATTCAAAACTTGAAATAAATACAGGTAAAATCTTCCAAATGTTTTAATTAAAATGTCTTCTTTCCAAATTGCTTTCATTAATATCAAGCCTTTAAGATCTCCTCTAAACTTATTGGAATATTTTTTCTCTATCCTGATTTATCATGACTTTCCTTCACCACATATTATCTTCATCAGGGATCAATTCCCATGGTTGGGTTTCATTTTTTCTTTTAACTACTGCCCCACTTGCATGTGCTAACAGGTTGGAGGAGCTGCAACTTTTGCTGCTTAGTAACCTCCACGCTAACAATCAACTCTTCCTATTCTGTCAACCACATTCCCCTTCCCTAAAGAAACTATTTCAATAGTTTTCATAGACTGGAATGTGCAGCTATAAATTTAATTTGAAAAAGCAATTAAGAATAGAAGAGTGTGTGCCAGATACTCTCCTTTCAAAATTTTCATGCTTCCAAGTTTGTTTTGTTTTGTTTTGTTTTGCTTTGTTTTGTTTTGTTTTCCCATGTGGAGACGTTCATGGTAAGAAATAGCAGCATTCTGTTCTATCAGGCCAATCCACCGGAGCACAGCACACACACACACACACACACACGTATAATAGGAAAGAGCCAAAATCCAGGCATCAAAGGACCAAGTTTCTAATCTCAGTTCAACCACCTGTTATATATCTGTAGGCAAAACCATAACCTCTCTCAGCTTCAACTTCCCCTTCTATAAACTAGAGATGATAACCACCATCCTATCTCAGCACCTTATTTCAGAGATTATAGAAGCACTGGATCACAAAAGCACTGTATAATTGCAAAATGTGTGAAAATTTATATACACATGTACAAACACACACAGCAATGTCATTGTCTATGGATAAATATAAAATAATTTTATATAATGTATTAAAGTTCCAATTAAATACTTCACTAGACAAACTAATATACCAAATTCTATACACAATATACCCATGGAAATTTTTTCTTTTTGAGAAACAGAATCTAGCTTGGAAACATATGTTCACAGTCCAGTAAATAATTTCTGGAGCCACTATCACTCTCTAATCTAGATTTATATTCTTGCAAGCCAATTTTTACTCAGAATCATAACATATCTAAATTTTCCCTCTCAACCAATCAAACTTAATATAAGTACTGGAGGTTAGTTTTTCATATCTTGTGCTAAGAATGTCTATATAATGGTCTTCAGATAAGCCTTAATTAAAATTTATTTATTTATTTTTAATGTTAAAAACAGTAGCACCATTAAATTAGAAAATTCTTAAATCATTACTCACTTCCAATTTCCTAGGCAAAATACCAATATATCTTCATTCTCCAAACACACACACACACACACACTTCCTAAATTGTGCTTTTATAGTTTTAACTTTTTATATGTGGCAACTTTTGAACACGAATTGTTTAGCATATGTGTTTTCTTTTTAGTTGCTTACAGTTTTCTACAAGATCTCTATTATAGCATGCTGTTTGTTGTTCCTATTAATTAATACTGCTTAAAACATGAAATTGAAAATTTTTATTTTAATCATAACTTTGCAGCTAAAATTCTTTTTCCAAACTTTGCAAGCATTCTGTACAACCTAAATTAGTGCTCAGATCAAACTGGATCTCAACAGTTGCTCAATGTTCTTCTAAAGGTGAAAAAGCATTTGTTTATCTGAACTACACCCATTTTCAATTTCAACACAGCAAACCTCTCATTTGTTCTTAAGGCAACTTTTAAGCCATACATATTGGGATTGGTTATTACTGAAGATAATTTATGCAATCATGAGCCAAAGATGCTAAGTTGGCTAGAAGAAAACCATGCAAGTAAGCAAACTCTACCACATGTGGGACACACCTCCTGTGCATATATAAAGGCTTGCCCCTGTCCTTGGTTGCAGCAGGCACTCCCTGGGCTAAATAGCATCACCATGTCTGTTCGATACAGCTCAAGCAAGCAATACTCTTCCTCCAAAAGTGGAGGAGGAGGAGGTGGAGGAGGAGGATCCATCAAAATTTCGAGCAGCAAAAGCTCCCATGGTGGAGGATATAGCTCAGGGGGCGGTTTCAGTGGTGGCTCTTTTAGCCGTGGGAGCTCTGGTGGAGGCTGCTTTGGAGGCTCATCGGGTGGCTATGGAGGTGGACTAGGAGGTGGGTATGGTGGAGGTGGCTTTGGTGGAGGCTACGGAAGTGGCAGCTTTGGTGGCGGCTATGGAGGAGGCAGTTTTGGAGGAGGCAGCTTTGGCGGGGGCAACTTTGGTGGGGGCTTCGGCGGAGGCGGCTATGGAGGAGGCTTTGGTGGTGGATTGGGAGATGGTGGCCTTCTCTCTGGAAATGAAAAAATAACCATGCAAAATCTGAACGACCGCCTGGCTTCCTACTTGGACAAAGTTCGGGCTCTTGAAGAATCAAACTATGAGCTAGAAGGCAAGATCAAAGAGTGGTATGAAAAGTATGGCAACAGAGGCCAGCGAGAGCCTCGTGACTACAGCAAGTACTACAGAACCATTGAAGATCTTAAAAATCAGGTAAGGGGCATTTTAAAATCCAACTGTAAGCCTATTTTTTCATCCATGTGATTCAGATAGATCAGTTTTAAATGAACCATGATGTAGCTGTCCATTGTGTATGCCTATGTTACTTTCTTGCTTCCAAAATCAGTCCTTTCTCATCAAAGGTAAATATTTGTGAGGGTATGGTCATTTCAATCTTCATCCAAAAATGTGTGTTGTGTGTCTTATAGGATGGTGGATTAATGAAAATGTTTTTGTTTTAATGAGTGTATAATGAGTCCACAGTTAAAATACATTAGATCATTTATAAATAGGAAAACAGAAAGAATTGTTAAATGAGTCTGAACAAAATATCATTCGGGTTGATAACAAAACAAAAAAATACTTACTACCTACATTGCAAGAAACATGAACTCTCCAGTAAGGAAATGATATATGGTTTGTCTCTAGAGATTTGTGAACTGTACCTACAGTGTACCTGCTTAGAGTGTATTCATTTAGAATATATTTTTATTAAACCAAACACAGGTATGAGCCAGTATTAGCTGAAATACATGGAAATCACACAGTGTAAGAGGAGGACACATATGTAGGAACTCAGCTATATAATTCCAGTTAGTTTTCAGAAAGAGATGATAGAGAAATAGAAGAGTATAGAGCCTTCAAGAGAACAAATGATTCAAGTTTAAGTGTCAGGGTAAGCCTGCAATATTTCATATTTAAAATAAAAAATTCCCCCCAAATTTTGTAAGAGAACAACATAAAAAAATGTAATTTATCTATGCCACTATAAAAGCCATATCTATGTCTTATTTCTTTACCTCTTCCCACAGATCCTGAATCTAACAACTGATAACGCCAATGTCCTGCTTCAGATCGACAATGCCAGGCTGGCAGCGGATGACTTCAGACTGAAGTAAGCTAAATGGATGGAGTACGGTACTGCCACAACAAATAATATGAGTTTGTTTTTAACAATGACGTTGGAAATCCACAATAGCATTTACATTTTTCCTGAATTCATTTAAAGTTAAAAGTACTGGAGCCGTCAGAGATATTTTCCATTTCAACATTACCTTTTTGAGCAATTATTAAAAGAAGAAAATGCATTTTACAGTAACTGCTAAGCTTCTTTGCATTAAACCACTAATATCCCTATGTGAGTTAGTACATGGTAAATGTCGCCATGATATGAAGTCAACTCTATATTTGCTTTTTAAATAGTTTCTGCCCAAGTACACCTCCCTTGCTTATGTTATAACCAGTTACCGTACCATGTCTGTTTCAGGTATGAGAACGAGGTAGCCCTCCGCCAGAGCGTGGACGCTGATACTAACGGCCTGCGCCGGGTGCTGGACGAGCTGACCCTGACCAAGGCTGACCTGGAGATGCAGATCGAGAGCCTGACTGAAGAGCTGGCCTACCTGAGGAAGAACCATGAAGAGGTGATGCAAAAAGTTATCCGTACTTCCCCCAGCCAAAAGATTGCTCATTTTGGTCACAGTGCAGACATTAAATTTTTTTCTCTTCCTCAAACAGGAAATGAAAGACCTTCAAAATGTGTCCACTGGTGACGTGAATGTGGAAATGAACGCTGCCCCGGGTGTGGATCTGACCCAACTTCTGAATAACATGAGAAGCCAGTATGAACAACTTGCTGAACAGAACCGCAAAGACGCCGAGGCCTGGTTCAATGAAAAGGTAACCAACCGTCCCCTTCATGGTGAAGCCAATGGAGGTTGGTTCCCATTTCAGATTTTGCTCATCTTTTCCTTTTTCTCATACTCTAGAGCAAAGAACTGACCACAGAAATCGATAGCAACATTGAACAAATGTCCAGCCAAAAAACTGAGATTACCGAATTGAGACGCACTGTTCAAGGTCTGGAGATCGAACTACAGTCCCAACTAGCCCTGGTATGTTAATAACTCTCTCACACACAGTTTCATGCTCATGCAAGAATATGTCTCTCTCTCTCACACACACACACACACACACACACACACACACACACGGCGGAGCTGGGGTACGAAAGTAGAAATAAAAATTGGAGCTCTTGTTAATGGGAGAAAGGCATCACTGGCATCAACTGTAAAACACAAATCCTATTCATCTTGTTTATGCTTCTGTATGATGTGTTAAGCTGTTCAGTGAATGTCCCTGTACTCAACTGAACGAGGGGGTCGCTAAGCCACCATCTATTCTCTCCCCTTTTCAGAAACAATCTCTGGAAGCCTCGCTGGCAGAAACGGAAGGTCGCTACTGCGTGCAGCTCTCCCAGATTCAGGCGCAGATCTCCACTCTGGAGGAGCAGCTGCAGCAGATCCGAGCTGAAACCGAGTGCCAGAACTCCGAGTACCAGCAACTCCTGGACATTAAGATTCGACTGGAGAACGAGATCCAGACCTACCGCAGCCTGCTAGAAGGAGAGGGAGGGTAAATTCTATCATTTTTTTAAATGATCCCAGTAGCTTTGATTCGCTCTTCCAAATCGCCAGGCTTTCCTAAAACCCACGGAAGTGCCAGAGAACGGGAAATGGGAAAGCAGGGAGGAGGCAGAATACAAAAAAAAAAAAAAAAAAAAAGGCGGGTGGAACCAGCCTGTTCCTCACGTATTTGATTCTGAGGGTTGTGTGTCTATAAAATTGTGTTTAAAGACTGTGTTTTAAACTTTAAAATTCATACTTGGCGGGGTGGTGTTTTCCCCGTTAAAACGGGTTTATTTTCTAAAGTAACAAAAAGCCGGAAAGCGACCCACCGTCTCCCAGTGTGTGAGTGAACTGAGTGTGACGTTAACTCCCTGCAGTTCCAAAGGCGG